AGTCATAGTATGGTTATAGCGACTCATATAGGGAGTTAACAACACATAAAGTTTACAGGATTTTTTCCAAATCAAAAAGGGGTTTTATGTCGATTTTAAATCACTTTTTATATCTTTAAGTATGGAAAAAATACTTGTTTATTTTCGGTCCTGGGATTTAGGACTACATTAACATTTATAAGGAAAATATTGGATTTTCTTGGAAAACATATTTCTATTAAAACTACTATAGCTAGAATTATTAGACTTCACCTATATTGCTAAGTGTATATGATAGAGTTATATAAGATTTAGTCACAATCGACTTAGAATTGGGGGCCCGCCTCATTCTCTTCGTCCTGTTTCGTTGTGGACGTAGGGCAGACCCATTATATTCAATGGTTTATTTAACTTAAATTGTATATAACTTATATACGTAGGCGATTCTAGAAGGAATCTATGGGTCCTTCTGGGTTCATTATCGCATAACATAGAAGCATTCATTTCACACTTATAAAGAAAATATTGGGTTTTCTGGAAACATACTTTGTCGCTTTTACAAGGAAAACGGTTTCTTTCTCAAACAAAACTCTTATGAACTCACCAACTTAATTGTTGACACTTTTTCAAAACTACTTGTATTCTCAGGAAATCAGTGAAAACAGGAAAACAACAGCCATTTTGAGGATGGGACGATAAATCGTCAAACAGTTCATTTTGTCATCATAATGTAATTGATTTTGAAACATGTAAACTTATTCATGGTTGTAACCTTTTCAATTATATTTATGATGGTTGTATTTACTTTGAGCACTATTATATTCGTTGTTGTGATACTATACATGAAGTCCTCCACCCCGGACGTTTCCGCCATCCTTGGTTTGGGGGTGTGACAAGTTAAGATTGCACAAGTTTGGTCCATATGAGTTTGGATTTGTCACTAACCTCCCCTTGTGGTTATGAAAATTTCACATGGCTAGGAAACAAATACACCATAAAATCTTAAGTTGTTCATAAGGTTTCTCTCCGATTCATGAAAATGATGTGAGATGAGAAACGCTTTCACTAAGTAGATTTTACATAGATAGCATTGTGATATTTGCCTTCTCAAAGTCGTTAGTGGAGCGTGGTGTGGTTAACTGGCACACTAACTGGACTTTGTGAGAAATGGAAAGGTCTAAACAATTGAGACTATGATTACGACATCCCTTTTCATAGTTCTGGAAATGTTTAGACACACATGATGAGCTATCTAAGGAAAGGTGTATGATTTTGATAAAGTTTTATCAAAGCATCTCGTATCAGAAATCTGAACTTTGTAGAGAAAGTCAATAAAGTCTTGATTTCTAGAAGTCCAGCTGATTTCTGAGTACATGTCAAAGTTAGTGGGAGCATAAGTGTTATGCTAATAATCATCATGTTAGTGGGAGCATGATAATTATGATAAGTTATTGCAATAATTGGCAATGTTAATTATAGAAAACAAAAGTTTCAATTGGAAAAGTTGTTTTGCTATAATTAAGGGAGAGAAATTATACTTCATTTTCAATTCTAAAAGCTTAGATTGAGATTTTAATCATCTTTAGTCAAAGATATATATATGAATTTTATGTTGGAATGGTTCAACATAAGGAATTATCTATATATATATATAATATATATTATATATATATATATATCTTATATATATATATATATATATATTGCGTTCTCAAATTCGATTATGATTACGGCATCCCTCTTCATAGTCGAATATGAACACATGGCAAATAAAAAATATGTAGCAAAAGACTGATCAGGTTCATGTCTTTATGTGAGACATCATGAATGTGTCCCTATGCTTCGGGTTATAGGATCGATTTCATGTACTATAACTATTTATCTATTCTAAATTTCCAAATGCCTTGGGCATTAAGAGAGGAAAAAGGGCTAGCTAATTGGATATGACTAAAATGTATAAGCAAATTGTCGAGGACAATCTGAGGTTTACCAAAGATGGTTGCTCATGGACAGTTGGAAGTATGGGTAAATTTTTGGAAAGGACCATATTGACATATTTTGAAAAGAGGCAACTCTTGTTCAGAAGTGATAGTCAAAATGGGAATATGGAAATGTTTCCATAGGTGGAAGTTATTCTTTAAATCTGTGTAAGATTAGAAAACTTAATGCAAGAAGGATGTTCAAACCAATGTACTTTGAATTTGAGAATTCGTTTCCATGGAATTGTTCTCCATTGGAATACTATGTAATGTCTGTTGGCAAGTCTTTGTGACTTTGTGCATAGTCATTACAAGAGGATCAATGCATATAAGTTTAGAATCTAACAGATTTCGGTATATGGTAGGAATTTGGAATTCTTACATTTACGGTAAGGATTTGGGATTGTGAAATGAGCATCATTAGAATCATGTTCAATTGGTCTATTTTACAAAGTAAGGATCATAGACTAACATGTGTGCATACTTGGAGTATGGCATAACTATTGTTTGGACAAACATAGTGTGCATGCTTGGAGCATGACATGACTATTGTTTCGATTCAAGTATAAAGTTGATTATTTGAAACATTATACAATGAATAATGAGTAATCAATATGGTGTTTAAATAAAAGGTGTTTTATTTACTCTCAAAGGTGCTTGGGACCATAGAGGATTAGTATTATTCTTGTGTTTCACTTTACATGTTTTGACTTCCATAATAGCTAGGTTATTCTTTCCGAATGACTAAGTTATTTAAATTCTCCATAGTCGGTCATATGTTAGAAGTAGATATGAATCAAGACTGTCATGAAGTTGGCTTGTAGATGTCTAAGGTGTTGGACATAGCAAGAGTTGCTACAACATTCATGAGTGCTCATAAGTTCTAAGTATTGGATTAAACCCACGCTCATTGAATCACTTCATGGATTTTATCACGAGTGATCATGAGACGATAATATCTTATATTCTTCAAACCTAGAGATATGATTTGTTGACTATGAGTTGGTTATACATTGATTGTACGAAAACACATTGGTAACTAGATGTTTTAAAACGTACCTTTGTGTATGATTCAACGAGTAGTAGAATAAGTATATAAGTCGAAGTTTATCCATTCCTTTTACCCGTGGAGGGATAAAAGCGATATCAGTGGGTCCCTCGATGATTTAGTGATGACAAACGTAAGTGCTCAGCCGGGCCTGGACTGATTTGATTTGTTCAATTAGTCAGTCGTCATAAATCGGAAATCGGGAAACAACAGATGGACAGAGAGAATGATTATAATCCATATCTCAGTCCATATGATATCTAGAATGGAGGAATATATGATCCCTTATCTAATGGACGCGTCATTGATTTGTTAGACTACATTCTTCTTCTGTGCCCCTTGCGGTTCCTATTTGGGGATATGTTGACATTACTAGAATTTTTTATTGGGAAAAAACTGTTGGAAGTATTGTTCATAGTTACAGCAGTTGGTAATATTATTATTAATGTCAGCGTCCTTTTGGGTTACACGCAGGGATAAATAAAAACAATATTGACATGAGAAGAATTATAGGATCTGGTTTTTTAATTAATTATGTCTTTAATTAATTAAATGAAAATTTGTAAATCTGTAAGGGCTTAAGTGTAAGAATCTGAAAGTTAGATAATTAATTAACTTAAGGATAATTCCTAGTGACCAAGTAATTATAGGGATTGTATTGTGGATCCTACCTCATCCAATCAAGTGGCTAGACACAAGAAAACAAAGACTACAAATATACCTATTCTTTTCTTTCTATGGTTAATCCTTTTGTTGCTCTAGTTTGGTTGAACATGGATCTAACTATTCGGTTCATGAGTTAATTTTGATATATGTATATACTTCCGTTGTATGCCTTTGTGGCCTTTAAGATCCTCATAACCCAATAGTGGTATTATAATTACTTGTTCACATCTATAACACATTAGTTCTATTCGGATAAAAGTATGGATTCGATTATTTAAAACTTTGCAGCTTATGGAACCAATTTAGATCAAATTTTGATTTTTAAAACAGGTTTGACTCAAAGCTACTTTGTTCGAAACATCTTCCATTGCCACGTATATATATAATGGATGCACGAAAAATGGACAAAATCAAACTCCACAACTTAGTAATTTTTGTTTTAAAAGTAATTGTTTATAGTGAATCGATAAATAGTTTTGTATGGTGAATTATTTGTTACTTAAGTATACCTTATTTAGATTTTCACGAGTTCTTTTGAAAGGTGTAAAACGTGAATGTATTAAGCTGAATCTTACACAGATATATAAAATAAATAGTTTGTTTTTGTTTTTGTTTTTGTTTTTTTTTTTAAACAGCAGCAAAGATTATATTAAAAACCAAGTTGACGATAAATCACATATTTGATAATTTGAATATGCTTTTCAGTTTCTTTAAACAAATGGTTTAGTTTGTTATATGTGTACATGTTATTGTTTACGATCCGCCGTTTTTAATATTGCAAACAATTTGAGCTTATACTCTAACCAATACTTTCAAGATTATTTCTTTACTGTACACATATATCCTTTTATCCTTCAAGTTCCAAAATACGTGACAAATGTAAGATAAGTTTTCTTATAAACATAAAAACACATTGACAACTTTACGTTTTTTACTTGTATTTTTTTGCCATTTTGCCTGTTTAACTTTATACAGAAGAAAATATCAATCGACAGCCACCAATTATTAGTATAGAAATTTTCTCAATCTGAGAAATAATATAATATAATACAGATAAACACAAGGGGATGTAGCTCATATGGTAGAGCGCTCGCTTCGCATGCGAGAGGCACGGGGTTCGATTCCCCGCATCTCCATTTTTTTTCATTTTTTTCTTTAGATACACTTGTCTCAATAATATCGAACAAAAAGTACAGGATAGATATCAGTATTTTGATACATTCAAAGGCTAAATATACATTCAGAAAGCTTAAATATGATGCTTCAAATTTTGATACATTCAGAAAGCGAAAAATACATCATTTATATCCTTTAAGTCATGAACAAACTTAAGGACTAAAACAGTCGACTAGCATAGCAACAGAAGCTTCAGAGTACACGGGGAACGCCAATGGTGGTGGTGAGTTGACTCGGTTCAGTAAAGCCTCTGCCCAGCTCCAGTTCTGGTTCACCTGGTTTGACTTTAACGAGTCAGGTTCACATGTGCTGGAGCCGTTGATGTGACCCTTCATGTCATTGTTCATCTTCTTCACTTCACTACTCCACATATCGATTATTCCAGACATTGATCTTTGTTTGAATTGACACTGTTTCTTTTTGTCAGTGATTGATGTTGAGATACAAAGATAGCGGAGATATGTAGACATATATAGAGTGAGAGTGGTGATAGAAAAGTGGACGGTGGTTTTGGAAATCACGGCCGCCGTTGGGGCGGTGTTGATGGGTTATAGCAAACAGTTTTAGTGAAGGAGAGAGAAAGTGAGATCTGTGTGCTGATGAAAATGGTTTAATAAACTCATAAAAGTCTACGTTTTCTACGAGGGTTACACCAAAATTGTAATTTGACACTGTGTTTTTTTTTGTCTTCAATTTGACATTGTATTTTCTAATTTGTTACCACTCTGACCACTTGACCGGTTAACCATGTTACATGCTGACGTGTGATGATGACGTGTCAGTTTTGATGACGTGACATGATGACATGATATGCTGACGTGTCAAAATTGAATTTTTTTCTACAAAACACTAAGTTTCATTTTTTTTTTCGATTTTGACACTAAGTTTGATTTTTTTTTTTTCGATTTTAACACTAAGTTCGATTTTGTTACAACGGTGTAATTAGTTTAATCGGACGATATTTGAGGTATAAGTTCAATAGGAATTGAAATATAGTTTATTAAATTTCTATGTATTTAAAAGTCTGTAGAATTTAATATTTCAATCATATAAGTTTAGTTTTCATAAAATTGAGTGATTGTTAATAGTTAATAGTTAATACACATTTTATGTTAAAAAGTAAATATAATTGACCAAGATCGTATACAAACAATCACATTCAGAATAAAAAAATACCTGCTGAATCAAAACTGAAAAATACGAAACCGATGATATGAAATTATAGATACAAACTCAAGATTTAAGAACTCAATACGTTGAAAATTAAGAACTCGAAACTTTAGAAATTAAGAACCCAATACTCCAAAGTTCATTTTATTTAGAGAAACAGAACTCATATTAAAAATTTATCAGATAGAAAGAATCAAACCCACCGAACCCACTGCCACATCAGTTTTTCTCTTTCATTTTTCTTCATCTTTCCCAACCCACAACACACGGAAATCCTATTTTTTTGAACTCACTCAACTCATTCAATTAAAAAAAATACAAAACAATCAAGGTAAAATCTTAATTAGCAATAGAGTTACCGCCGGTACCACTTCCGCTTCAGCGGGTTGTTTAATTGATTTCACTAACCCACATCATCATCTATCTCTACTTTCTCTCTTTCGTTTTCTCTTGTACCATGTATTTTAAAACTTATACCTTAGTTGCTTTGTATTTTTTTTTAATTGAGTGAGTTGAAAAAGATAGGATTTTCGTGTGTTGTGGGTTGGGAAAGATGAAGAAAAAAAAGAGATAAAAATGATGTGACAGTGGGTTCAATGGGTTGGGAGGGAATGACTCTCTCCTCCCTTAAAGGTCTCCAATATTCTCTCTTTATATTGTATCGTTATATCATTATGGAACTAGGTAACCAGTAGACCTCAACAAATCACAATGAATGAGTAGACCACCACGAAGTTGACTGATATGTATCACTACGTAATTATGTATCAGATTTCGACCTTATAAAGTGATAACCGAATTCGAAATTGACTGATATATAATTTGTTATTAGACAAAAATACAAAAATGGTCATTATGGTATGTATTTTTTCCGGATTTTGATCCAACTCTAACGTTTATGGATTGTTGGTTATTTTGAGCTAGTTTCATTGCCTATTTTGTCCCTCCGAAAATTGAAATTACCATAATACCTTTAGTGTCTCTATTTTCTATTTTTCTTTCAGTTTTTTTTAATTTAATACTTATTTATTTATTTTAATAATTAAAAAATAAGAGAGAGTCCAGCTTTGGCTTTGAAATCATGTTCCCGATTCAACTCCTTCATGCCATTGATTGATGCAAGTCTTTTTCCTTGTGTAAGAGATATTCCAACAAGTTTATAGAGGCTGAAAGCTGCCTAAACCGGATCAATATTCAGCCAATCCCTTGCAGCTTTATCTCACTTCTACTTCTCGTGGGGCATTGCGATAGGAAGGAATGCCCAGTATACTACTTGAGCCGAGTGATCACATGTCCGGGGACAAGGTACTCAGTTGTGGAAGGGCACTGCCTCAGATTAGTCTTTGTTACTCAGAAGCTGCGTCACTACTTCATGTCCTTCACAGTTCATATTGTGACAATATGAGTCCACCTTCTCTCCCTCTCTCTCATCTGTTCATCCAATGCATCTCCAAACCTAAATCCTCACACGAACTTAACGATTTCTTTCCAGGCGCCAATCTCACAAATGTAAAACTCTGATGAACCAAATTATGAAGATAATCCATTTCTCTAGCAACATCCAACACAATATTCAGTCGTCTCTTTCAGAAACATCATCCTCAGTGATGATCCCCTTTCCAAATATCGTTTCTCTATTCTCTCCGTACCACCGACCACGACGACTTGTTGGAGAAGTTATCATATTTTCGGTCGCCGGAGCTCTCAATACAGGATGGAGGAACCGGTTGGGTGGGGTCTAATTACCAGATTGTGGATTCAAGAGGTAAAGCCAAAAGTTCTAAAATTTCATCATTTGATGCTATCGATTGTGGAGGGTTTCGCAGTATTGTTCTTATGATTCAAAACATGATGATGAACACACACATACAAAACAAAAAAAAATCATATCTAGGTTTTTTTTTCAAAATCATAAATTGTTTCTGTGATTTTATTCGAAATTTGGGTTCATTCATGGAGTTCCTCTATTTGTTGAAGAAAAAAAATATAGAAATATGGAGTGTGTGTTCACGAGTAATCATTTATGGGTTTTTTTCGAAATTAAAAATCGTGTTTAGGGTTTTATTCGAAAATCCGGGTTCATTCATGGTGTTCATCTGTGTGTGTTGAAGAATAGATCCATAAATTTGGAGTGTGTGTGCGCTTAAGAACAAACCAAGAAAATAGGGTGGGTGAACAAGAACAAACCCAACAAATGGATTTATTCATGGAGTTCTTTGATTATTCTCCCGCCAACCTAACCAGAGAAGACGAAGGCACAATGTATGTGGAGGAGATTGTGTGAACAAGAACATAAAAAAGAGGGATGATGAATTAAATTTACAGGTCTGGTACTTAGCATTAATTTGTTGATTTTAGAAGTGATACATGTCTGGTACTCTGATACATCTCTCATGTCCCCTTTAATCCATGTCAATAGTTAATGCTTCTAAGCCTCTATAACCTGATTATAATATTTATGTTACCGGTTGAATTTGTGTTTTTTATGAACTTTGTCATCTTCCTGTTGCCTTTGTAGCTTAATAAATCCATTGTTCTAAAAAAAACCAAGACACCATAGGGGTGAAGGTAAGATGAGAAGAAACGTCGAAGACGTGAAACAACAACGGAGAGGTGATTCAACTCAGAGAGAGAGAGAGAGAGAGAGGAGAGAGAGGGAGGGAGAGAGAGAGAGAGAGAGAGAGAGAGAGAGAGAGAGAGAGAGAGAGAGAGAAAAGTGAGTCCTCTCTTATTTTTCTAATTATTAAAATAAATAAATAAGTACTAAATTTTAAAATAAAATGAAAGAAAAATAGAAAATAAATATACCAAGGGTATTACAGTAATTTTAATTTTCGAATGGACCAAAGAGAAACATCAATCCAAAACAAAAAAAAAAAAAAAAAAAAAAAAAAAAGATAGAAGTTTGGACCAAACCTGGAAAACCACAGGACATCGAGTTCATAAGTAGTAAAGGCATTCAAAATCAGTTCTTGAGTTCTCCAATTGCCAATAAATCGGCGTTTTTCTAAACATCGATTGTCATTTCGTTTTTTTAGGCGTCAAAAGCAAGACCAAATTCTTGAGTTTTTCATGCGCGCGCCTGCCGTTACAACAAAAAACGGATTCATAACTGTGTTAATTCATTGGGCTAACCTTTTTTTGGGCCAATTTGATGTATATATTACTATTAATTAACCTTATTAAATTTGTGCACCGGTATAGTGCCTACGCCTTAGCCCAATTCGCCTAATGTATTGGGTCGGGCCTGACCATGACTTCAACAACAAATTGATTCCAAAGGTGATGCAATGTGAGAAAAACACCATTTGTTTTGGAAATTTTCTTTTAACACCCTTAAAATATTAAGATGGGCAACCTTTACCTTTATGGTTAGTAAAAAAATATATTTTATTCTTGATAGATATTATTATATATTCAAACTTTTTAAGCCAACTATAGTTTTATAATTTGAATATATAAAATAGGTTAAAAGTTGATGTTAGTTTATATATATTTCTTATCGTAAAAGTTAATTGTTTTCTTCTTTACTGCTTATATATATTATATATATATATTATATATATATATATATATATATTATATATATATATTCTGTTTGTATATATATATTGTTATGCAAAAGTATTAGCAAATGATGAATATAGATTGTTTTTAAAATATAAAAATTAGTTGTAATACTTTGGAGAAAATTTACTCTTTTGTTTAAAATATATTTAATTGGTAGGGTGTCAAATTTAATAAATGATAGGAGTACAATAGACTTCAAATACATTGTTATAATGCATTAAAAAGTAGTACAATGCAAGCAGAGTCGATCCTCGAAGACACAAGACGAAAGTTTATACCTCTTTGTGCAATGTACTTTGGTTACAAAAATGGAGGTTTGTATGCAAAATGTTACGTAATGTAAATAACAATCTACTTTGAAAACATATAGAAAATGAAATAGATTTGTAAACAATGAATTAAACGGTTTTAGTTCTAGTTCTCAGTGTTGTCATTTAACTTGATTATGCCTTGATAAAATTCATGATTACTATTCTATGTTGATACTAAAAGATACTAACATGCTCTAATACCTCCCACTTGGCAAATTATCTAATCAAAATACTCTCTTTGACTAAACCTAGCTTCACTAATCCAACCTAAACATACTCTTAGATTGTATTGAAAACCCGCATTATGTTTTGTACAAGGTCCCAACAATGCTCATTTCTTCTCATACGTTAGAAGTATGAAAACATGTGATATATGTTGTAACGTCTCAAAAATACTGATAAAAATTTTCATTTCTAAA